ATCACATCCCCCCCTTAATCTCCTCTTTTCCAAACGAACCACTCAGTTCCTTCAGCTTTTGCTTGTATGGCTGCATTCTATCCCTTGGATCATCTTTGTCACTCGCCTCTGGATCCTTTCCAGTTTCTCTACATCCTTTCTATACATTGCTGACCAAAACTGGACACAGTACTCCAGCTGAGGCCTAACCAGCACCGAGTAGAGTGGTACTATCACCTCCTATGACTTGCATGCTCTGCCTCTGTTAATGCAACCTAAAACTGCATTTGGGTTTTTTTTGCAACAGCATCACATTGCTGACTCATGTTGAGACTGTGATCAACCACAACTCCCAGATCTTTCTAAGCAGTGCTGCTGCCAAGCCAGTTATCCCCCATTGTGTATTTGTGCATTTGGTTTTTCTTCCCTAAGTGTAGAACCTTACCTTTGTCTTTGTTGAATTTCATTTTGTTGTCTATAGCCCAGTTCTTCAATTTATCAAGATTCCTCTGAATGTTAGCTCTATCCTCCAAAGTGTTGGCAACTCCCTCTGGCTTTGTGTCATCTGCAAACTTGATCAGTGTGCTCTCTAGTCCTACATCCAGGTCTTTAATAAAGATGTTAAATAACACTGGATCCAGAAAAGATCCCTGTGGAACCCCACTTGAAACCTCCCTCCAATCTGACATTCCATTAATAGTGACTCCGTTTGTGGTTGTTTAGCCAATTATGTATCCATTTAAGGTTAGTTTTGTCGAGCCCGCATTTCTCCAGCTTACTTATCAGAATGTCATGTGGGACTGTGTCAGAAGCCTTGCCGAAGTCCAGGTATATTATGCCCACTGTATTCTCCCATCCACCAAATCAGCTACCCTATCAAAGAAGGAAATCAAGCTGGTTTGGCAGTTGTTGTTCTTGGTAAATCCATGCTGGCTGCTAATGATCACCCTTCATCCTCCAGGTATTCACAAATTGAATGTTTGAGACATTGCTCTAGTAGCTTTGCAGATATCGAGGTCAGGCTAACTGGTCTGTAGTTCCCCAGTTCCTCCTTTTTAAAGATGGGCACTATGTTAGCCCTTCTCCAGTCTTCCGGGACCTCTCCTGTCATCCATGAGTTTGCAAATATTATTGCCAGTGGCTCCAAGATTTCTTCAGCCAATTCCTTCACTTCCCTGGGATGAATAGCATCAGGCCCACTGATCTGTATTCATTCAAATTGGTCAGAAGACCTCAGATTGGTTCTTTACTTATGTTTGTTTTAAACCTGCTGCCTGTTCATTTCATTGGGTGACCCCTAGTTCTTGTGTTATGGGAAGGGGTAAATAATGGGTTTAAGCTGCAGCATGGGAGATTTAGGTTAGGAAAAACTTGCCAGCTCTAAGTGTAGTTAAGCTCTGGAACAGGCTTCCCAGGAAGGTTGTGGAATCCCTGTCATTGGAGGCTTTTCAGAACAGGTTGGCCGAACACCTGTTGGATAGTCTAGGTTCACTTGGGCCCGCCTCAGTGCAGGGGGCTGGACTAGGTGACTTCTGGAGGTCCCTTCCAACCTGACAGTTCTGCGATTCTACGCACTCACTGTCTGAGAGCCTCTCAGAGTAACAAAGCCCTACAGGTGCCCCAGGTCCCAGTTGCATCTGCAGAGCGCACACCTTCCCCTGAGCCTGCTGAGTGGGTTCTCTCTGCCAGGTGAGCTGCTGAGAGACAGCAAGTTCTTGTACTGCAAGCCAGGACAGGAGGGGAGCAGGGATGATGGATGGCTGTGGGCTGATTCCCTCTCCTCACACCTTGTGTCATTATTCACACCCGTGCAAGGGGGTATAAAATATGACCCAATCTGCATTCTCTGCTCACCCCAATGGGAGCCTCTTGCACCCGGTGTAAATTACACTCCCGACCCTGTATTGCGCCTTGCACACAGTGCCCAACATGGTCAAATCACACTTCCCCTTCCAGTCTCAGCCCTGCATCTCAAAGCACCGTTCAGCAGTGGCTCAGTTTCATCATCCCCATTTTACACACGGGGAAATTGATTTGGAGGCAAAGTGACTCTGCCCGGGTCATACAGCAAAGAGGAGAGAACCCAGGAGCTCTGCTTTCCACTGCCATACTATGGCCCGTCTCCACCCAGGCTAACTCAGAACAAACCAGCCTCACCGTGGCCAGGCCTTCAGAAGTTTGCATGTACAGTTTATTTTGTTTCACAACAGAAATACAAAGAGCAAAATCGTTTTGAATTTTTTTTTAAATTCTTTTTCTTTTAAACATAATGCAAACTTTCGATACGGAAGCCGCAGCCTCCTCATGTCTTTCCGTTAACCACAATGCGAGACAGAGAGAAGGGGGAGGGAGAATCCTTTTTTTTTTTTCCTTTTTTCTTTTTTAATAAGGTAATAACTAGATCTAGAGACACGTGGCCTGGATTTTCATATAGAAAAAAAAAGAAAAAAAAAAGATGTGTTAACAGTATGTATAAGAGGCCTATTTACACAGTATTAACATGCTGACAAAAGGGTTACAATATTGAATATCGTACAACATCGATTCAGAAACAAAGGGCAGGGCAGAGGGCAGGGTAAAAAGAGAATCAAATTAATAAACAGAGTAGGCAATAAACAACCAACCTGGTAAAACAATGATATAGTTAAGGCTTAAAAAGTGTATAAAAATAACAGTTAATATCCAAAACGGAACCAAAGAGTACATAATATATATGAGTTTTTGTCTAGTCTTTCTTGGAGGGCTGGGGGACGTGGGGCATTCTTCCTTCTCTATACATAGGTGTTATATATATACACACACACACACGTATATTTATATAACTCCATGTATCCGTCCATACACACACAGGCATGGGCATGGCTTTCCAAACAGGGAGGCTGGCAAGGAGGAGGGCAAGCCCATCTGCTTGCTGCTTGTTTAATACTATATTGAATTGGTTTCACCCAACAGGAAGGGATCTAGGATTTGCTGCTGGAGGGGGAGAGGGACGGGATGGATCCGCTCTGCTTTTATAAATCTCTCATGGGTGGGAGGGTTTCTGTTCTGGCAGTGAAAGGCTTAAGTGGCCACAGGTGGCTGTATCACCTCCTGCTTGGGAGGATGTTCTCTCCAGCAATGCACAGCGCCTCCTGCTGGGAGAAGCTGGGTTAGTGCATGAGCAGCCAGCCAGTGCTTCCAGCTGGAGCAGTGGTGAGCTCTCCATCAGTCTGAGCTCCTACCTAGACCCTACCATGGCCCTGCTGAGCTGAGTTAGCTCTGAGCTCCTGCCCAAGAAACGCTGCCCTAGTGTATTTGTTCCCTGCAGGGCCTGCTGCTGCCGTTGGCCCCTCCAAAGCTGCTCCATTGGAGGTATTTACACATTGCAAATCATTCTTCCTGCTGCATTTGCTTCTCGGTGTCTGGTATGTGGGATTCTGCAGGGCAGAGAGGCAGATCACAGCACCCTTGGCTGGGGGAATCCCCCTCCAGTCCATCTGGCCTGAGAGCAGGCTCTGCAGCTCCCAAAACAGCTCAGTCCCCCAAAGGCCAGAGATCAAGCTGGTGCCCCAGGGGAATCACGTGGAGGGCAGTGGGATCCATGCCTGTGGTACCACTACTGTACCCAATGAGGTGACCCCAGAGAAGGAAAGGGCCTCGTGTCTCTTGTTGCTGGATTTCTCCCTCCTAAGCCTGCTCCAAGGTTCCCTGCCAGGGGACTGCACTGCTGGGGGGCTGATTTCCAGGAGGTGCCAGGGGAGGTGGGGAAGGAACGCCGCTCCGGGAATACAGACCGCTCTGCGTTTCTCCCATCGCCCGTCTGACCAGCCACACGGTCCCAGGACAGAGTAAGCCAACCCCCTCAGGCACTGCCAGTCCCTGCTACTGGGCACAGCCCCCAGGGCACGCTGGCTTTCCTCTTCCCCTTTAGTGTTTTAGTTTGCTCAGGAGGGAGCTGGTTTGTTCCCTGCATCCCAGGAGCCAGGGGGGCTCACAGCCTAATCCTGCCCCACTAACCTCTGGGAGAGCTTTGTCATGGCAGCAGAATCAGACCCCAATGGATCAGAATTTCAGATCCAAGCGGTGCTAATGGCACAGCTCACCTCCGATGCCAGCAGCAGGGAGTGGGGGCAGCGCTGGCTATCCCCTGCTGATCTCCCCAAGTCCTGCAGAGCCCTACTGTGCTCAGTACAGCCCTGTTTGCAAGTGACCCTCAAACCTGATTCTAACCGGCCCCGTTTCACAGAGCACAAGCTACAGCCCAAACCATGGTCCCGGCTGAGCCAAGGTAGGGTCAGCCAAGTTCAGAACAACTGATAGGTGCTCTGTGCATGGGCGGGGTTACAGCTGGGCCAGAAATGGAGCCAGTCACAGGCCCTAGTGTGGATAGGGCTAACGGGAGCTGTGCCCAGCCAGCAGATGTTCCAGGTGTTACTGTGCCAGCCAACAGGTGCTCTGCAGGTGGCTTCATTACCATCCTGCACAGACACAGCAGGAGAAAGGGAAATTCTCACGGCAGCTGGCTGGTGCCACAGCAACCGACTGCTCCAAAGCCCCAGGGACTGAGCCAGTGCTAGTCTTGCCGCAGGGTTCAGGGACTGGATGGGGTTTCTATGTGAATCCTGTGAAGGTGCAGAAAGTGTTTGCCAGTGCCCTGCTGGGAACCCAGAGGGAGGGGCAGAGCCGGGGGGTAGGGGCCCGTTGTACTGCATGGTGCAGGGGTGGAGACATTCCTGGTAGGGGTGGTCTGGAGGGAGCTTTCCCATGGGGCAGACCCCCCTCTCCCACATGCAACACTCTGCCTGGGGCCCAGCCCCTTGATACGCGAACACAGGCTCCAGGAGGTAACGGAGACAGAGGAGACCCCAGACTGCCCCCTTGCCCCGGGCTGCTGTGGTGCCCGGGCTTCCAGAGCAGCAGCACTAGATGCCCATAGTGGGGAAAGAGAGATTGAAAAATAATCCACGTCAAAGAGCATAACCTGCGGCGAGTACCTGCCCCCTCGTCTCTCACACTCGCTCTTCCTTAGCAAACGCCCCTTCATAGCTCAGGACAATCCCTAGTTAGCACCAGGTGGACTAGGTGGGGGGGGAGGAAGGGCAGCGGACCGTGGACAGCTGAGGCTCCCAAACTCCTGCTGTGAAACGCCATGCCCCCTCCCCCCCAATCCTCAGCATCATGGCCAAAGTGCCCCTCCACTCCCACACGCCATGGCTGGCCTAGCAGAGCTGGGGTCTGGAAAGGGGAGCCCCACAGCTGGGACTATACCAGAGCTGGCCACAGTCTGCCTGACTCGCTGCCCCAATCCTATAGACTACAGCTCCCAGCAGGCAATGCACTTTCCCGATCTGGTGGGATACTGCTTAGCTCAAACTAGAGCACGGCATGCTGGGACCTGTGGTCTCTATGGGCTGCATCTCTGGATTCCGCACAGGCATGGCCAGCCCTGCCCTCCGCCCCGGCTGTGTCCCTGTTGTAGGCTTAGCGCCTCCTCCGGCAGCCACCACACTTACCCCAGCCGGGCGGAGGGCGCGGGTGAAATGTGCACGGACCACGGCGTGGCCGCGGGGCCAGCCAGTCCTGTGCAGCTCGAACCAGGACAAATGAAACAAACCAAAGGAAACAACCAAAACGTCCCAACGAGGTTAGACAAAGCGGCAGAGGGACGAGCCCCAGCGGGGAACAGCGACATCTGCAGAACAAAGGTCTCCCTCCTGCAGCTGCTGCTCGAGTGCCTGTCCCCACGCCACCAGAGCCGCAGATCTCACCTCTCCAGCCAACAGGTTAACCCATTCCCCTCTCAACTGGCCTCACGCTGGCTCCCAACAGAGAGTCCAGGAGGGGCAGCAGATACCAAGCGCCAGGCTGGGCACGTCCCAGAGTCTCATCCTGAGGCTGAAGGAGCCCGAGTGCCAGGCCCTGGATCCTGCCCGCCACGCCATCCAGCGCTTCTCTGTCCAGTTCGGGTTTTCGGTTTTAGCAGCACCAACTTCTTGGCCAATATATATATATATATCTCTACTTGTATCCAAAAGAGAGCAGAAAGGAGCACGGAGGATGGGGGTGGGGGCAGAAAGAAGGGGAAAAAAGAAAGAAAATGAAGAAACCAAACACAGAGATTCAAAGTGCTCTGAAATAGTCTTTGGATTTCACCAAAACTGTGGACGAGTCCCTGGCTCTCCCGGCAGGGTGCTGGGGACGGGGCCAGGGCCGAGGGGTGTTTTCCAAACATTAATTCATTCATTAATTTCTCCCAAAAGATGAGTGTCTTCGCAGTCGCTCCCCGTGGCTCGGCAGGCGCGGGCACTCGGTGGCGGTGCTGGGGGGGTGGTCTGTGTGATCGTCTCCAAGCCGCCCTCTGGCCCCTGGCGATCCGGAATTGGGGCGAGGAGAGCTGCGCAGGGTAGGGGTGGGCGAGGGAGCCCCAGATTAGATGAGTGAGATCCGCACTGGGATGCCGGGGGACTCCGTCCTTTGAGGCGAGTGCTGGCTCACTAGGTGTTCCACCACGGTGTGTTTGGACATGTGCTTCATCAAATACGTCTCCTGGGGGGAGAGAGACAGCCGGGGAGCAGGGTAACCAGTGCAGCTAGGAGGGGTGGGCCCACTGTCTGCCTCGCCCCCTGTGCCCAGAAGGGAGCCCCCATCCCATGCCCCCGCCCAGAATCCATCCTCATTCACACGCCTGGGAGCGCTACAGGACAGCTCAGAGGTGACAAGCTGATTGGCTCTCCCAAGGGATCCGCCTCCACCTGGCGGGAAGAAGCCCAGGCTTCAGGCTCTAGCCAATAGAGAGCAATTTTCTCTTACCAGCTGGTTTGCGATTGGCTGGAGCCTGATCCCTGCAGCACCGTAAGAGCCTCCCTTGCCAGTGCTGGGATGACTGCTGTGCTAAGGAGCTCCTCACCCAATGAGCACCTGGCTGTGGGCAGAGACCCTCCCTTTCTCATCCCGCGTGGCTGAGCTGGCACAGGCTGGGGGCATGAGCCGCCTCTGGAACAGACCCTGCCCCGTGGCACCTCTGGCCCCATCGCAGCCCCGTCCCCGCCTTGGCCAGTGCCTGGCTCCCCACGCCTCCTGCCACTCACCGAGGTGTAGGCCCGCCCACACATGCTGCAGCAGTAGGCCTTGGCGTGTTTGATGGCGTGTGCAGAGAGGTGGATCTGCAGCGATGCCGAGTCCGAGTACGCCCGGTAGCAGTTCGGACACTTGTAGGGCTTATCCTTGTTGTGCTGTCGCTGGTGTGACTGCGAGGGCGGGAGGAGGCAGGGGCAGTGTTACGTGGCACAATCCTTGGCAGCTCTTGGGCCACGCCCCCACCCCATGGGGACACGGAGCCCAGCGGCTGGGGGACCATGTAGAGCAGCCTGCTCTGCTCCCAGGATCCACACCAATGGCAGAGTAGACACCCCCGTGGGACAGGGGCCAACGAGTATCGATCCCCACAGCCCCCTGCAGGGCTCCCGGCATCGGCGCCACCTCCCCCAGTCCTAGGCCCCCAGACACTGATGCTGCTCCCTGGAACCACATCCATCTCCCCCTTCCCGTCAACTGCCCGGCTCCATGACCTAGGTCCCCTCCCCCCATCAGCTTCTTATTTTCTGCTCCCCACCCTCATCAAGAGTTCTCTGCCCCCCCACCCCCACCCCGCAACTACTTGTGTCTCCCCTCCCCAAGGGCTCGGCCCCCCGTGGGCTGGGAACCTGCCGGGCCCCAACAGGGCACTGACCTGGAGGTTGGAGAGCTGTGTGAAAGCCTTTTCACAGCCAGGGTGTGGGCACTTGTAGGGTCTGTCGCCAGTGTGGATTCTGCAACACAGCAACAGGCACGTCAACACAGGCACCGCCTAGAATGGGATCAAACCCCGTGCCCTACTCTGCTGTGGGGGTGCAGCAGCCCTCTAAGGCCCCAGCACACACAGGGCACCTGGACAGCCCCTCTCCTCTCCTGCCCCACTCAGCGAGCAAGGGGGTGAAGGTGGCTCTGTCCCCCAAAGGGCTGCCTCTGTTAGCACGCTGGATTCCAGCCCTGCGGGGGCCACGTACACAAAAGCAGGAGCCAGCCCCCTCCAGCAACGGGATGGAGACGGACCAGCCCAGCTGCAGGGCAATGGGCTCCCAGCATGCTGCCTAGCCAGCGCCAGCGTGGGGGCAAGCCTCCCCTTGCCGTCATTGGAGTTATAACTCGAATGTCCCGTCCGCACAGAAACGCCTTCACTCGAGTCCAGGGATGCTTTTAGCTCATGTTGGCTGGCCCGAGACGTGCACCACTCGTCACCTGCCCTGCAGTGGGGACACAGGCTAGCGCCACTCGGGTGCTGCCAGTCTGCCAGGGCCTTCCTACCATGCCCCCTGTTCCTGGAAGGACAGATGAGTTCTCCCTCAATCCACTGGGAACGTACTCACAGAGCCGCCCAGCCCCCTCCATGCGAACGTCCAGGGCTGTGCCCCCAGAAGTCCTAGCGCCTCACATGAGCGCGGGCAGTGCCAGCGCAGACCTGGCAGTGGGAGAGCCCGGACACAACGTGGCCGTGCTCACTGCAGCTGGGCTCGCTCGAGAGGAGTCACTCGAGCTAACTCCGTGGTGAAGACACATTGGCACCACCCCACAGGTTAGTTATTTCCTGCTCAGCAAGATCCTGGAGTCTGACTTGTTCAGCCCGGAGGGAGGGCAGAGCTGCCACCGCTGACGTACAAAAACCCAGGACAAGCAGGATGCTCCTGGGCCCGTCAGACTGGCCAGCTGGCCATGTACTGAGCACCCTGACAGGTCTCCCAGCACAGCTACCTCAAAAGAGGGTCGATCCTGGGCAAACCTGGACAGGTGGCATCCCGAAGGGAAAGAGGGAGGGAGGTTTATAGGGCCAGTCCACGGAGGCAGGCAGAGGATGGCTGGCCTGTCCCAAGGGCTCACAGGAGGCAATTGTCCCTCTGGCTTCATTCCACACAGGCTCCCAGAGTAGAGAGGCCAGCGGGTGCTTTCTGAAGGCCGCCTGCTCCTTCATGTTTGACGCTGGGGGGCAGCACAGGAATCCAGGGGCATAGGGAGAGGAAGCCCAGGCTGGGAATAGGAGTCAAACCCTGCATCACTCTAGGGGTCCTGAGGTGGCCAGAGAAACGCTCTCCCAGGCAGGCCCAATGGGAAAGCCTGGGCTCGATTCCACAGCTCCATGCAACAGGATGGCTGGGCACCTGTTCACAGGCAAAATCTGGCACCTGGGCATGTGAGACCAGGGACACGTGCCACACACCCACTGCATGCAAACACTGGTGCAAGGGCGCAGACCTACACCACTGGCGTGCCCACAAGAGCCGGGTCTCATAGGTGCTGGTGAATTTTTACATGGCTCTTGGGGCGCTCAAGGCTGGAGAAAGCAGGGGCCACCAGCGGCCCGGCTCCTGACAGGACAGTGGTGGCATGCCCATGCTGTGCTTATCCCAGTGCATTCTGGGACTCCATAGTTAGGGCCCTACCAAATTCACGGCCATGAAAAACGCATCACGGCCCGTGAAATCTGGTCTTTTGTGAGCTTTTACCCTCTACTACACAGATTTCATGGGGGAGACCAGCGTTTCTCAGATTGGGGGTCCTAACCCAAAAGTAGGGTTGCCTACCCTCCAGGATTGTCCTGGACTCTCCAGGAATTGATCTTTAATTAAAGATAATGTCATGTGATGAAACCTCCAGGAATTCATCCAACCAAAGTTGGTAACCCTACCAAAAGGGAGGGGTTTTTTTGGGGGGGCGGGGTGTTGCAAGGTTATTTTAGAGGGGTCACGGTATTGCCACCCTTACTCCTGCGCTCCTTTCCGAGCTTGGCAGCCAGAGCGGGCGGCTGTTGGCTAGGTGCCCAGCTCTGAAGGCAGCGCCCCGCCAGTACCATACCGTGCCACCCTTACTTCAGCGCGGCTGCTGGCAGTGGTTCTTCCTTCAGACTGGGCTCCTAGCCAGCAGCCGCTGCTCTCCAGTTGCCCAGTTCTGAAGGCAGCACCGCCGCCAGCAGCAGTGCGGAAGGGTAGCCGTACTAACCCCCCTTACAATAACCTTGTGACCCCCTCACAACTCCTGTTTGGGTCAGGACCCCTACAATTACAGCACCATCAAATTTCAGGTTTAAATAGCTGAAATCATGAAATTCACTATTTTTAAAATCCAATGACCGTGAAATTGACCAAAAAGGACCATGAATTTGGTAGGGCCCTACCCATAGTGCCTGGCCCTGTTGGTGGGTGCAGGTGGTTAGGAGTAATTTCCCCATACAGAGCACTGCACTGCGGGACCATCGGGAGGACAGGGGCTACAGCTTCCCAGCCGCTTGGGGACAAAGGCTGTGGGACGAACCCGTTCAGCCAGACAGGAGTTACAGGCTTGGTCCAGCTGTCAGAGGCTTGTTTGCTCTGGGATTCCATGGGGCGTGCAGGTGGCACCTGCTCAGAGCCAGCCAGGCACTGGCCATTGCAGCCCCGCCCCTCACCTGGTGTGCTGCTGGAGATGGGAGAGCTGGCGGAAGGATTTCTCACAGTAGGAGCAGTGATACGGCTTCACGCCCAGGTGGATGCGCAGGTGCTGGGCCAAGTAGGAGGCGTTGGCGAAGGATTTGGAGCAGTGCGGGCACTTGTGGGGTTTGGCCTCTGTGTGCGACTTGGAGTGGATCTGCATCTCCGACTTGGTGAAGAAGGTCAGGGGGCAGACTTTACACCTGGGGAGTGACAGCGAGAGGGGCCCGGGGGGCATCAGGCAAGGGCATGGCAAGCAGCACACCCCAGCCCAGGCCCCCCGCCAGGCTCCTGCACTGAGCTCTAGGACAGTGTGTCCTGCAGCGCTGCAGGGGCCAGTGCGGGACATGAGGCTGTTGCAGCCCCAGCCTGCCCCAGGAGTAACTGCGGCCTGGCTGCTACGGGCCAGATCCACCCCACAGGCCTGGCTTCCTACCCAAGACTTGTCCCATTCCCCTCCCTCTGCCCGGCCCGGCGATGGGCACACACTGTTCTGTAGGCTGTGGGGAGCCAGCATGGTCGGGCAGGACAGCCAGTCTCTGATGGGCCCCACAGCAGGGACATGTCTGCAGAAGCTAGCAATGCAGGGACTGAGCACAGCTTCCGCTCACCAGCACTGGGGACCATCTGACCTTTCAGTCCACACAATTGTCCCCCACAAGACAGGCAACTGTGAGCCCCCCATTCCACCGATGGAGAAACTGAGGCACGGAAAAGGGAAACGACTTGCCCAAGATCACCCAGGGAATCAGTGTCAGAACCAGGAATGGAAGGAACCCAGCCCCCCTGATTCCCATCCCCTTCCTAGAGCTGGGACTAGAACACAGGAGTCCTGGGTGCCAGTCCTGTGCTCATGCCCCCACACTGGCAGAGAGGGGGTGGTGCATGGAGGGTGGGGCCACACCCCAGCAGAGGCCTGGCCAAATGAAGGCCGTAGGGTGGCACCCGAACAGAAAGGGGCTGTTGCCATGTTCCCGTGCCAGGTGCCCTCCTTCAGCAGAGGGAAGGGAGCAGCCAGCAGCGCCAGGCTGGGAGTGCCCAGCCGGTGTGGGGGCAGCCCAACCTGTAGGTTTTGCCCTCTTTAGCGGTCTCGCCCGAGGCCAGGATGGGGTAGGGCACCACGAGGACGGGCGGCCCCGACGGGTTCTCCGCCTTGATCTTCTTCCTCCCTCGCTCTGACTTGGGCGCCCCCAGCAGGCTGTGGCCCTGGATTGTCTTGATGGAGTCCAGGAGCGGGGGGCTGGTGATCCCTGAGATGAGGGTGGGCGAGGAGGCGATGAGTCTGCTCTGACTGGTGGAGGTGGGGGTGGAGGGGGTGCTGGTGCCGGTGCTGGAGTCTGAGGTGCTGACTGCGGGGGCACGGGAGGCCAGCCCCAGACCTGAAAGGTAAAGGGGGGGAGGGGATCACTGGAACGCAGCTGCGCAGGGATGGAGCTCGCCCTTCTCCCCCAGGGGGCAGCTGGCTTTGGGATACTGAGACCCCATCACAGGAAGCTTCCCAGACAGGCGTGGCTTCCCCAGTACAGCTGATCCCACTTAGGGGACCCTAGCTTGGGGAGGGAGGCTGACCCATTGCCCCCCCAAACTCCCAGCCCCTGAGAATAGAGGCAGAGGAGGGGACCCCCTGCAGCTGCAACATGGCACTGAGAGGTTCCACCTCCGTACCCCATCGGCAGAAAGGGCAGCGGGTGAAACAGACCGTCCTGCCAAGGGGGAGAGCATGGCCTAGGAGTGGGGGGCAGCGCCAGCCTCTGCCTAGGGATCCTGCCAGGTAATCTGGGTTCCCTCAAACACAGGGGGCCCCCCTCTTCTAGAGTCCTGTCCCCTCCTGCCTGTGCAGAGATGCACACCCCTGCCCCTCTAACCCTGCTCGGAAGCCCCTCCCTTCCCCTCCCAGCCCCGCCCACAGTGCTCCCCACGGTGCTGCTGGGCTGTGGTTACCTGTGACCGTGCTGGTGGCCGGCCGGGCATGCAGGGCCACGTCAGGCTGGGGGACGGCCTGTGGGTGCAGCCCTGGGACCTGCTGCAGTTTGGGGAGGGACATGATGGACTGGCTGCTCTCCGCGGGCGAGGGGGGCACCAGCAGGGGCTGCTGGGAGGACACCGAGGTGGGGGGCAGGTGAGGGGGCCGGATCTTCTCTGCCATCAGCTGCTCCTTGATTTTATTGATCAGAACCAAGTTGTCCAGCTGGGACGAGGAAAGCAAGACGCACACGTCACTGCCAGAGGCACGGGAGCACGGCAGGTACCGGCCCCACGGGGAAGCTGCCAGCCCTGGCACAGCGCAGGTGAGGAGACACTGGCTCCCACCCCCAACTATGCCACTGTTCTGGGGCACGGCCCCTCCCCTGCAAGTCCACGTGTGGAGTGGGGAAGGGTGCTCCCCCCACGGCCCCACCTCTGCGACTGCTTGGAGGAAAGAGGGGCCAGACTCCTGGAGCTGCATGCTTCCCAACATGCAGTGGGGTCCCCAGCACTGGCAGATCCCATGCCAGCACGTGGCACTGGGCTTCCCCCCACCCACCAAGCTAGCTGGCACACTGTTCTGCGCTGGGACGCCTGCCAAAGGCTGCCCCTCTCCCAGCCAGCTGCAGCTGGGGTATCTACCATAGTCGCTGCAGACGGAGCAGAGGTAATAGCTCATCTAATGCACTCACCTCCCCCCGGCCCTCCAGGAGCTCAGGGCCGGATTGTCCTTTCTCACCTACCCCTGAGCCTCGCAAGGGGGCTCCCTTCCCTGGCATGACGCTCCCCAGCCCAACAGCTCCGTGGGTCCTGAGACGTGGTCTAAGTGTCTGGATCCCGCCTCATCACCACTGGCCACAAGACTTTAGCAACCTTCATTACTCCCCAGGGGTCAGTCCCCCCCGGCCATGGCCCTGCCCACTGCTCTTCCCGGGGTCTCGGCTGGCCCTGCCACAGCCCCCAACAGCCACTACCTGGGATCGCGCTGCTCTGCAGCCGGACCTCACCCACGACTGCAAAAAGCTGCCCCTCCTCGCTTCTCTGGCTGCAGGGTAGGGAGGGGGTCTTACCTGGCTGGGCATGGTGGGAGGGGGCGGCCAGAAGTAGGGGTTGTTAAAGCGAGGCTCCGCCATCCTGCAAGGAGGCAAACAGAGAGAGGGTCACAGGGTGGCACTTGCTGCTGAGCTCCGTTACTCCCTCCCCACAGCTCAGTAGGTGCCACACGGCAAGGCCTGGCCAGGCCTGCTGGTCACGCATCCCCCCACCCCCTGCCAGGCCCAGCCTCCTCCCCATGCAGAACAGACTGTGCCGGAGCTGCAGCGCTGAGATGACACGGGAGCTTTATCTAGAGCCTGCGCTCCCGGACAACGACTCCATGGGGCAGGGGCGCATGCAGTGGGTTTATTCAGCGCATCTGTGCATGGTTTATCCTCTCCCGCTCCACACACCAGTCCCACGCCCCGGCCCATCTCCTCAGGCTTAGTGCACCAGTGAAATCAGTGTTGGGGCCTCTGCTTCAGGGCAGCCCCTCTGTCCCCTGTAGGTGACATTGTGGGGGTCCTGCCCCCGGGTGCCGGCTGACAGCAGCAGATGGCTGCCCCTCCTGCCCCAGGAAGGGCGATGGCCCGTGAGGCAGCCGAGTGCCCCCCACCCCCACCAGCATGGCCCTGGGGTTCAGTGTAGTCGCCATCTCGGGCAGCAGGGCTCCCACAGCCAAAAGGATTCCCCCTTCACTCCCTAGAGACCCCCCTCTGCTCCCTTCACTGGAGCCGTCCACCTCCGGCTCAGGGGCCTGGGAGCCCAGTGACGCTGCCTGGCTGGGGTGAGGCGCAGCACCCCCAGGCCTGGCAATCAAACCCAGACCCTGATGGAGCGGGGGGTGCTAAGGAGCAGCTGCTCCAGGATCTGTTTGGCTGGAAAGATGGTGGCAACAACACAACCTTTGAGGGCCGAAGGCAAATCAAGGCGTCCCCAAGGGCTCAGAGTGCGATGAGGACAGCACCCCTAAGCGCCATGCAGGAAAGCCCTGTGGCTCCGAGGGGGTAACCAAGATGGAGGGTCCCTTCCCCAGACCATCCCTGCACAGGGAGTGTGGGACCATGGAGGATCACAAAAGACCCGGAAGATAATGAAGCAACAACAGCCCACACCACCTCATACCCCTTCGTGGCTCAGCAGGAACCCAGTACCCACCAGAACTCACCAGCTCCTCTCAGCAGAGAAGCAGAGACTAGTTAGGGCCCATCTAATCCAGCACTGGGGGGGGGGAAGCAGGCAGAAGAGTCCCCTGCAATCGGCTCCCTGGGCTGTGCGCAATGGAATGGCAGCGCCCTCAGCCAGCAGGTTCCCAGAACATCCCCAGGGAGACGATGCTGCAGCCGAATAGCTCCGACAGCCAGACATGCACAGCCGCTCAACCCATTTAGGAGGAACACGGTCCCTCTCCTTACAGCACAGACCCCTAACGTTCTTCCCACTCCCTCAGCAGGATGGATTTCCATGGGGCTGGCCCTGCGCGTCTCTTCTCTCCCTAGCTGTCTACCCATGGCTAATACAGCTAGCCTAGCCCTGAGGCTACGCCTCGCCTTGCTGCCTCTCATCCCATTCCTCAACAGCAACATTCGGGCCCCTAACTCACCTCTGGTCATTGCGACTGTGGGAGCACAAGGGTGTTTTTCTTTAATCCCATCTCTACACTACATTGCTCCCCGATAGGGAATGAGGAGTCAGACAGGTGGGCCTAAGTCCTACCCCCAACTGCCAGCTGGAACAATCATTCCTTCTCCCTCCTTGGGTTTTACACCCACGAACGCCTGTGCAGGGTCACCACGGCCATCTCTCTCCAGGCGATGCTCAGCTGAGTCGTTAAGCAAGAGATCTCAGCGGCTCTCCCTCCTTACCAGGGAGTCTCTCTGGGGATACAGGAAGGAAGGATTTCACAGTCCCAGGCCCGAATGCTATCTATGCTCACCCTCGCACACACAGCACCAAACCCTCACTGACAGCTCCGTTTGCACATGGCCTCTGCTTTTAGGTGCCTTGCCTCTGCGTTGCCAGACATGAGACCCCTGAGCCGGATTTCCAGCACTCACAGTTCCCACTGACATCTGAAGATGTGGGTGGTCAGCGCACTTGCAAATCTGGCCATAGGTGTCTCAAGCTGGGACCAGAAATCAAGGCAGGCACCCAAAAATCAGAGGCCACTTGAAAACGTGGTTCTTCATGTCCATATCTGGTAAGGCTGAAGGGCCAGAAAGCTGGAGAATTAAAGCAAATGGCACTGTCTAATTTGCATAGTTGATGAATATGCATTTCTTCATTTACATGCAGACCAGAAATTAACTGAGTTATACTTTTTCAGGTTTATAACACACCACCCACTGCCTGTCTGCCCTGAACTAATTCTCTCTCTCCCCCTCTCAGCCGTAAGTTCCTTCCTCCCTGCCAGGAGGCAGCCATGGGCGTGACCTGATACCTGCACGGAGGTGGCTGTGGGCCCAAGCGGCACCTGGACACCTTGTGGCAACTGAAGTTGGATTAAAAAAATGACACGAGTAAATAAATAAAATCTGCGCTGTCTGATGAGATGTTAATGTTGCCAACAGTTATGCAAGCAACAGGATTTTGGCCCCTGCTATAGATATTTGATGAGATAACTGGCTCTGTGGATGAGGGGAAAGCAGTGGATGTGAAATACCTTGACTTTAGCAAAGCTTTTGATACGGTTTCCCACAGTATAATTGCCAGCAAGTTAAAGGAGTATGAGCTGGATGAATGGACTATGAGGTGGATAGAAACCTGGCTAGATCTTCAGGCTCAACGGGTAGTGATCAACGGCTCAATGTCTAGTTGGCAGCTGGTAGCAAGCGGAGTGCCCCAAGGGTCAGTGCTGGGGCCGGTTTTGTTCAATCTCTTAATTAATGATCTGGATGATGGGATGGATTACACCCTCAGCAAGTTCGCGGCTGACACTAAGCTGAGGGGAGAGGTAGATATGCTGGAGGGTAGGGATAGGGTCCAGAGTGACCTAGACAAATTGGAGGGTTGGGCCAAAAGAAATCTCATGAGGTTCAACAAGGACAAGTGTAGAGTCCAGCACTTAGGATGGAAGAATCCCATGCACCACTACAGGCTGGGGACTGACTGGCTAAGCGGCCGTTCGGCAGAAAAGGACCTGGGGGTTACAGTGGACGAGAAGCTGGATATGAGTCAGCAGTGTGCCCTTGTTGCCAAGAAGGCTAATGGCATATTGGGCTGCATTAGTAGGAGCATTGCCAGCAGATCGAGGGAAGTGATTATTCCCCTCTATTCAGCACTGGTGAGGCCACATCTGCGTCCAGTTTTGAGCGCCCCCACTACAGAAGGGATGTGGACAAATTGGAGAGAGTCCAGCAGAGGGCAACGAAAATGATTAGGGAGCTGGGGCCCATGACTTACGAGGAGAGGCTGAGGGAACTGGGCTTATTTAGCCTGCAGAAGAGAAGAGTGAGGAGGGATTTGATAGCAGCCTTCAACTACCTGAAGGGGGGTTCCAAAGAGGATGGAGCCAGGCTGTTCATAGTGGTAGCAGATGACAGAACAAGAAGCAATGGTCTCAAGTTGCAGTGGGGGAGGTCTAGGTTGGATATTAGGAAAAACTATTTCACTAGAAGGGTGGTGAAGCACTGGAATGGGTTCCCTAGGGAGGTGGTGGAATCGCCATCCTTAGAGGTTTTTAAGGCCTGGCTTGACAAAGCCCTGGCTGGGATGATTTAGTTGGGGATTGGTCCTGCTTTGAGCAGGGGGTTGGACTAGATGACCTCCTGAGGTCTCTTCCAACCCTGATATTCTATGATTCCTGTGAGGACATGAGAAATCCTGGCTTTCACATGATTTCAGGGAAGCAAAGTACAGTGAGTGAAAGGCCTACGTGCCAGGCCCAGGAGACTAGGGGATGGCCACTAAAATACAAGCTTAGAGACCATGAGTTCTAGCCCCAGCTCCTCTGCTGCCTGCTGCTGCTATTTCTATGCCCTTTCTTCACCCTTATTCTGAACCCAACTCTCCTACTGTTACCTTGGGGGTAACCAACATTCACCCATTTTACAGGCCAGGTTGACACTAAAAAGTTGGGCTAGCAGAGCTCCGTTGGCTATTCACAGCCCTAGGTGACACATGCTGGCAAAGCCCCCAGTGCAGATGCAGCTAAGCCAACAGAAAAAAGTGCTTCAGTCACCCCGTCATTCAGGGAGATAGTGTTACCACCGGGCAGAAAAGCTCCTTCTGTTGACGTACCAGGGGCCATGCTGACATAGTAGTGTAGACATGGCCACAGAGAACTGAGCACGAGGGCTCATTTTCACTCCCCTTCTGCCCCGAGTCCCGTTCACACACAAAACCCCTTCGTGAGTATGACGGCACTTTTAACTCCAGTTGGCTGGCCCATCGGGGTCCGGGCTATCGTTCGAGTTAGCACAACTCCTCAGCTGTGAACACAATCACACTGCTGCTAATCCAGTCACTCCGGGCCACCTGTGTGTGACTTCATAGCATGGCTGCTCTCCCTTGACCTAGGTTAACTTGAGCCGCATTAACTCAGTGGTAGATCATGCAAGTGAACTGTTAAGACCTAGTGTAAGAACTTGCCCAGAGTCACTACCGGCAGAGCTAGGAACAGAATCAGTAACACAGCCAAGTCTCCTCCACTTTGTCACGTAGGGGGTGTCTGCCCTGCAGAGTTAGGGCATGTCTACACTACCATTTTAAGTCGACCTACGTTAGGTGATGTCCACACTACCCTTCTTCTGTTAGTGGTTCCGTTGACTGAAGAGGGGTCGTGTGGGAGGCTGAGAGCCAAGGCTCTCAGCTCTGCGCAGCTCCATGCCAGGAGCCCAGCTGCCCCCGAGCTTCTTGCCCCCCACCCCCAGCTTGGAGCAGGGGCGTCGTGAAATTAACAAGCCAGCCAACAGCTGATGTAAGGAACGCAGTGTCTCACCCTAACTACACCAACATAAGCCCTACACCTCTCGCGGCGGAGGAGTTATGTCGGTGTAGTAGAGCACTTACATCGGCAGGAGCACGGCTGTAGTGTAGACACTGACATAGTTAGGTCAGTGCAGACCAAGCCTTAGCCTGGCTTCTTACCAGGGTGCTTG